GTTGTTTACCCATATCTTCAGAAAAAAATCACTTCTACTGTCGTGGTAAACAACCTGCTTCCCTATTTATAATGGTCTGGCCCTCTAGCAACTTCAGTGCGAAATTATAGCTAATTTGCCTACAAACGTCAGGTGGTCATAATAATCTGGCCACTCAGTGTATATATATATATATATATATATTAGGAACCCAGCGCGCGAAATCGAGCAGTGCTGCCCACCCACCTGCAGCCCTGCCTTGACACCCGAACCTGTCCACACAGAGCTCCAGCACGCCTGGCCCAGCCCCCAAACCCTCTGGCCTTCTCTGGCCGCTTCAAGCCCCGCCCTCAGCCCCTCCAGTCACCTCCGGCTGGTCCCGCCTTCTCCAGGCGTCTCCCTTATTCCGCCCTGTCTCCGGAGCAACGCCCCAGCTAATATGCTAATGGTCTGGTCGTTACCCATTATGGTGTCCCGACCATTAGCATATTAGCTCTTTATTAGTGTGTGTGTATGTGTGTGTAATAGTGTGTATGTATATGTGTGTGTATGTGTGTGTATGAGTGTGTGTATATATATATATCTCTCTTTTCCTCTCCCTCTTCTGTCCTCTCTCTGAAATTAATAAAAATGTATTAAAAAAACAAGAACAGTCCAAATTACAGATGCCTACTGTGTAGAACCTATCAACTACCCATCATAGCAATTTTAAAATGCGGCCTATTCCAAATTCAACCAAAGTGTCAAGATTCATGCTCACCCAGCCATAAACCAGCCACAGACAGTTTATTCTCAGCGTACTTTCCCAATGCAGTTATGTTTGCTACGGCGTTGCCGAAAACCTTCCCCACTGGCTGGAGGCTTCTTGGAATTTTTAAATTAAGTGCAAGATGAATGAAGACTTGGATTCGACCAATTATCCCTGGTTATTTGATTAGAGTTTAGAGTTAGAGCTTCAATAATTGGGCAATAATTTACTGACGCTTTTGACCTGGGAATACTAGAATTTGGGTTTAATTCTATAAGATAATAATTTGCTTTAATATTTAGTAGCTCAGTCATATTAGCATTGCTTCAGGGAGTTAATGTAACAAATAAACACATTCCAGAGCCGTTAGAACAGATAAGAGCTCATTCTCTATAGCAGAGAAGATGAATTACCTAGTTCTAACCCCCGATGCAGGAACCATATTCAGATTTTTGAAAATGGATGGCTATAGGTAAGAAAGCGGAGGCGCTATTCTGCTCCGTGTGACATTGTCACTAATTATAAAATGGAGTGCGGGTGACCTCTGACCTTGAAGTGACGACGGCGATATTTCAGCATTAGCAAAGAGCTTTGAATGGTAAACAGACTGATTATATTTGTTTAAGTTCATTTACTTGACCTCTCTTAGCCTAAAAAGACTACAGTTGTTTCCATG